CTTTGGATAGGGAAATTTTAAGAATACCCCTTGAGATTGTATTGTAAGCAAGTAACAGTCGACCGTCGCTCAGCTTGACCCCATCGATGCCTGATAAACAACATTCAAGATATATGGCAAGAGCAAAGAAGCCATTAGTATTCCTTTTCATTAACTACAGTTGCCAACTTAGTGGAGAACAAGTGAAATTTTCAATAGAATGAAAACCAAATTGATTATGTCCGACAAACCAAAGGAATCAAAAGCATTCTAAAGTGAGCTAGTCCAATCAAGATAAATCTATCTTCAGTTGGATGTCAAATTTACAACCATTATACTATCATGCAAGAGTCATACCAACCTGAGTTGGGGTTGGGGAGCTCAGTGGGTATGGCATAACCCCAATTCTGTCCAGAATCAAATGATTCTGCCATACAAACCCTACTAATGTTATTAAAGGATCGCAATAAAAGGCGTAAGGTGCCTTTTGCAGTCAGGAAAGGAACTGGCTGAATAACACTGAGAGTTTTGTTTTTAACATATATAGGGCCATACTTCTTCCAGGTTCTTCCAGAATCTGCAGTGACCTGTTGCATGTGATTTACAGAACATGTCAACAACATCTTTGAACATAATAAGATTCTCACTGCGCATGTAGTTGAAATCATCAAACAACCTCAGCCCATGCCCCCCAAGAATTCCAGCTCTCCACCGAGGATCCACAGAGCAAATGCCCGTTGCCCAACAAGAGAGGCTGCAGGTGAGAGAATTGCACGCAAGATTAGGAAACTTTATCAGAGTTTTATAAGTCACAGAAATTTTTTTAATTATACCTTGTTCTTAGATGGTCCTAGGATGCCAGGAGGAAGCTGTTCTCTCTGTGTCCAAGTAACACCTTTGTCATATGATCGCTTCATGCACCCGCTCCACCTGGATTTTATTAAAGCAAACAGTGAGCTAGGGCAAGAAAATTGTACAATATGATTTATTAGTTGCAACTAAATTCAAATATCATGACGACTCAAGTGAAGAATATGTAGTCATATTTTAGAACAGGAAAGCAGAGTTTTTCAATGCTACACTCTACTTGAAATTGAGTCTTTAACTGTTCAAAAAAGATGGAGGACTAACCAAAGTCCTGAAAACAAATGAGTGGTACCCTATTGTGAACTGTCAAGGCAGTACAACCAGAAGTGAAGTCAGATTGAATTGAACATTTTTATTACAGACTTCAATTATAACATTACTGTTTCCGAATATAGGAATTTAAATACTTGTTCCAGGTTAACGTGAACTGCACCACAAAGTCACTCAAATACAGAATACCATCCAAAACAGAATTTGTGAACATGAAAAAGTAGTTATTGAGGGTTAAAACCATTTGACCATTCCATGACACTTCATCCAGACCAAAATCTTATATATTTTTTGCCTTTGGCTTGCCTAAATTCTAGCTTAAATTGCCAATCCTCTGCAGATATATGAGGTCATGGAAAGGACTCATACCACATAGGAAAATTCTACAGTAAGCTCATTCAGATCTCAACAATGCAAATAAAATGAGCGAAATTTGCAATGTGAATGAACTCATTGTAAGTATGTATATAAGCAAAAAGCAAAATCAGAAAGTACAGTCAGGTTTTAATCTACTTTTGAGCACCAAATTGCTTGGAAATTTACTTTTGCACGTCCAAGCCTACTTTATAGAACAATAGCAGCTCATCTGATGGAAGTTTAAATAGTACAGGATTCCACATCGGAACATTAGGTTCTTCATCCATGGCAATAGGTGGGTACCAGCAGCCACCCTGCCGAACAAATTTTCGTTAATTAAGGTAAAAACTCTTAAAATCAATCCAAAGAGCATCGTACTGCAAATAAGTTGGTACAAAAAACACACACAGAAAAGTGGAAGGAACCATAACACAAGCAGAGAAAAGAGAAGGCAAGGAGGCATGCGGCCTTTCTACTGCTTTTTACCTAGGCAGATGACATGCACATGATGGAGAAGTCTGGAAGAGCAAAAGCATGGACATAACAAATCAATGGGGGAGGTGGGGGATGGTCTTTGGAATGAGGAATCCTTTGTGCAAAACACAAGAAAGCTTGAAGGAGGCAATGCAGATACACTCAAAATTAAGCGATGTAAAAATGTTTACACTGGAAGCAATAAGTAGCCGGAAAAAGACCATCTTAAGAGGAGCGTGCCACATGCCAATTAAGGTCACATATATTATAACAGAAAAGGAAAATAGGCAGAGTAGCATCAGCAGAACATGCATATTCCCATTCTCCTATAAATCACAAAGAAACAATCAGGTGAAAGACTGAAAACCATGTTGTTCATCTATGAACTAGATAACTACCTTGTACTTCTGCAACCAAATTTTAACATCACGTGCTCCTTCAGATGTCCCTCCAAAATAGGCAACCAAGAAGTGACCTTTACCAACCTGCATATTAAATTAGTGGCAACGATAGGGTGAGATGAGGTTGGCAAAGGGACACTATAAATTAAGAAAAACACAAAATCAGATGAATTGCATGACCTCAACAATGGTAGAGGCATGACAACTATTGAAGGGAGCCGAACCAGCAGGAAATGTGAAGTCCTCTTTCAATGGTCCGCTAATAGAATGACCTTGCTTCTTATGGAAGCTCCCAGTACTTGAAGTTGTAGCCTTTCTACATCTGCACCGTTGTTTTGGGCCTTTTGGCGTAACTTTAGGTCTTCTTTTGAGTTCAATGAAAATATAGATTTTATACAGACTTGCACATAGAAGTGCATGGGAGAGAATAACAACAGCATTTTTGTAATTTTATCAGGAAAGCTAACGACCAATGATTTGTGGTAGGCACCCATGTCTTGGTTCAAATCCCCAAATTCACATGCTCAAGAGAATCAGGAAATTTTTCATTATTTCTATAGGTTGCTGTGGGAGAAATTAAGACTAGTCAAGAAAACGTAATTTCAAAATGACATTCCTATTAAAAACATCACTAACGACTGATTACTATCATACATGAAATTGAGCTTCGTTGTCCCAATATTTTGTCTCGCGGGGGACAATGATCATGTCATAATGTGAACAAAACAGGCATCAATACCATAGAATCAATCGTATGAATAACAAACCTGGAAAACAGCTGATGAAAAGACTGAAGCAAGCGGCGGGTGTCCCACACCACAGGGTTGGGTTTGAAGCTGCTTCTCTGCCCCGGAAATGAGACATGAAAGTCGGAGAAGCTAGAAACTGAAAACAACAAAGGGACCAGAAACATAGACGAAGACAGCAACAGGACAAGCAAAATGGTTCCAACTGATTTCCCCATATATGTTGACTATCTAGTTTTGTTTGATGAAAATGAGCTTCCAAAACAGAACTGCCGCTTGCAAATAAAAGCAGCAAAAATGTAAACCTAAACCATATATATATATATATATATATATATATTCATCTATCGAGGAGACAACATGGGTTGTGAGCATTCAATATATTATTACAATAACAAGAAGCAGGCAGTACCTAATACTGTGAGTATTCAGAGAGGAGAGTCCAGAGAGAAATAGAGAAAGCAGTTTAATGAGAGTTGTTTTATTTTTTACAATAAGCTGAATTTCTTTTTGTTTTTTCTTCTTAGAAAATAAAATGAGTTTGACTCACAAAAAGAAGGCAAGACTGTTGCAATCAGTTCATAAAAACCCCAGCTAACAAACAAGAAGAAAAGTTTGAAGTACCATTAAGTGGCCGCAGAGAAACAGGAAACAAAATGCCAAAAACATTGCCGTAGTGTAAAGCATACAACTGGGCCATGCAGAAGAAACAAAACGTAGAAAATATTTAAAACAACATTAATAACTCAACTCGAAGAAAGCAACTTCAGGGGGATAAACAACTTCGTGCTGGAATCGTCAAAGATTTTTAAACAATAGAAATTAACACAAACTTAATTTCCCTTTCCCATATTTTATGCATTAATGCAAAAAAAAAAAAGGATTACTACATATGAATGTTGAGTATTAGCAGGCAAATTATCAATATAAAAGAAGAGAAGAAATCCTGAGGGGGAAGGATTCCAGTAGCTTGTTCAATCAAGTGCTTAATACATTAGTAACTATAATATCTTATTTAACCTCAATAATATAAATATATATCTAATATAATATCTGTATTTTTAAAAAAATTCAATTTGATACATAAACTTTTATTATTTTTTTTTCTATCAATATCT